ATTTCAAGTGCATACTGGTCAGATGGTATTTTATCCTTGCTAACAAAGGAGGCTGAATATCTGCATATTGAAGACGGAATAATGTTTAAAACTTGTACATATCTGCATGAACTGATGAAATAAAAGTTACATAAAGCCTTGTAAATCAGGCACAAGCTGCTATGACTACCACTCTATCATGATCGAAATCGGTAATTCCCACACTTTCACAGTTAGTGATTGAATCACTGGTTACCCAGAACTGAGAGGCTAGCAGCATGAAGTCTAAGACGGTGCTGTAGATAAACCAGAGGTCCTTGCAATCTTAACTCTAGGCTTCTGGCTATGAGTAGCTACCAGTTTCCAATTAATTTCCAAATATAAACCATGCACATTTCATTGACTTAATCTCATCATCCGGTCATTCCTTTTACACATACTACGTATATTAGACATTTAATTAAAAAGAAGGGGGGATTGGAGCGTGCACCCCACTTATTCATCCAGAATTCAGTTTGCACCCCATTTTTAAAATAATTAATATTTGAACCCAAATTTGAAACTGGCAACTCATTTTTCTTCCAGTTCAGAGATTGCCCCCCATCATTAACAGAATTTTCTAACTTTGGGGCGCAAATAATATTAATGGTCTCAACTCTCAAGGATTGGGTGCAAACTCAACTCTTGATGAAAAAGTAGGGGTGCAAGCTCCAATTCTTCTCAATATTAAACGAATTAGCTTGTAAAACTCAAACTGAATCCATTATAAAACTGGCTAATAATTTCACATCCAGTAAGTGACTGATTATGAAATCAATCAAGATTCAACTCAATGAACATGATAATCAAACATTTGCGGACAAAACTCCTATAGTCCTATGAGTAAAAAAACTAACTTCACTAAGCGAGTAACATGAAAAGATGAACTTTACAATACATACCCAGAAACAGTAGCGCCAGTACCCAGTCGAAAGACTATAGCCACAGCAGCTCCCAATACGTCGAAGAGCTTATCGCCCCTAGCCCTGAAAGGTTTGGGCTGCGGCGCCTTGAAATTGGGAGGAGCCAAAAGGGAAGTTTCCGATTTGGGTTCATTTGTGCTGACGGAGGTGGAGGCCATGGAGTTTTCCGAAGATGAGTTAACAGAAAACAGTGCTCTCTTGCTCCGGCTGTTTGGGATTACTTTTCGGGTCGAAATCGGTCGAACAATAGGGGATGGGGATAGGTTCAGAGCGCCGAACATGGCTCACTGGCGCGGTGGAAATCCGGTTAGAAATTGGTAGACCGGACGTAGGTGCGTTCAGTCGTGCGTGGTGGATAGTGGAAGGGGCGGTTTTGACTTGTGTGTTTATCGTGACGGTGGGTCAGCTCAACCGTTAAAATGGCTCTTCGATTTCACAAGGGGAAGTAACTAACAATAACGTACGGAGTATGTAATCAAGAAAAAAATCATTTGAATGAGATGAAATAAAGCAAACTGTCTAACTAAACTATTTGTGTTTCTTTTTTATAAAATAACAGCAATTTTCAATATGTGCAGTAAGAATGCGTACACTCAATCCTCCTTATTTTTTGCGTAGATGGAAATCTTTGCGTCACTGGTATAATGAAAATGATGATGATATATTTTTTGTACATACCAATAACCAGTAAACATGTCAGCGAACAACTTATTTTTTTCACATACAAAACATATAGTGTACAAAACATATAGTCTGTTCACATACAAAACATATACTCCGTTAAAAAATATAGTGTACTTAACGACACGGTATACTAGTGTGTATAAAAAAAAGCGTGTAGAACAAAACAATTTGTATAGTAAAAACCCCTCAAACAAAACATCTCTATATTTATTTATGAATCTGTTTATGTATAAACAAAAAGAAAAATATTTGCTTATTTTGAACTCTTTACTTTTCAGCTAACTCGTGGTTGCCGACCTGCCAAATTTTAGATATCCGATTATCACGAAAAAGTCAATTAGGTCATCATACTTTAAAAAAAATTAATTAAATCCCTGAAATTTGTAAAAACGTTCAATTGAATCCATTTGCATGTTACTTGTCATGTCAGCATGTCACCCCGTTGCGTGGCGCACACGTGGCAACCCACGTGTGCACCACATCATCATCAAACGGATGGTTGAACTTCCACATGTGTGCCACACCAGCAAAGTCAATCTTGATTGGACTACCACGTCGGTGGATGACATGGCAAATGGACTCGATTGAACGTTTTTACAAAGTTTGGGATTTGATTGATTTTTTTTAAAGTACGAGGAACTAATTGACTTTTTCGTGATAATACGAGGACCAAATTGACAGTTTTCCCCTTTTTATATTGTACACAAATTTAATACTCCATATATTTTTATAAAAATTTCATAATATACCAATATTGTGCATGTTTATTGACACTAAAATAGCATAGAATATATCAATATAATAACCAGTGACCAATCAATTAACACCTGTATATGTTTTCAAATTTGAAAAATACAGTAATACAGTATTTAAGATTTACTTCGGTATTTATCATAGATACGATCATAGGACTTATGAGCAAAAGTAATATCTGTCTCTATATGAAATACTTCCTCAGTCCCAAATTGTAAGATACATTTACTATTCACTTGGTCAACATAAATCACTCTTAATCTTTTACTTTATATATCAAAAATTTATGAAATTTGAATTATTTTTTCCAGGTTTTGTAGCGGTTTTAATTTTAATGTAGTTTCTGAATATATAAATTTTATTTTCTGAAACTAATTTGAGTGTTGACAAGGATCAATTTGCTTTTTCGTCGATAAAACATCATAAACCGTAAAGTATCTTACAAATTGGGACGGAGGGAGTATAATTTTTGTTACTTTCGTTAGGAAAATGATACGTTTTAGAAATTCATCCATTCATGTGATCATGTCTATCAAAGTATGGGCGATCAAATGCATTACAGATCAATAATATTACTCCGTACAAGTACAATCAAACAAATTCCAATAGTTAAAGCATGAATACATTTGAAAGCAGTTAATTCAGTTTGAAATAGAGAATATTTTTAAGCCACGTTCAATTGAACAATGGCCAGCCAATGGCTTTTTGGGGTTTGACCGACACCTCCAACTGCCAATCTAAGAAAAAAAATTAAGAGAAATTGTGGAGTAAAGTATAAAAAGGTTCAAAAAAAGATTTTCTCTCTCTAAACAGTAGTGTTTAGTAAGGTTTAGGGGTAGTTGTCGGGGACCGTAGGACTGCAGTGGCAATGGAGGCCCGGCAATGGAGGCTGTGGTGGAAGTCCTACATCAAGACGGCCGGGTGGCAATTCAACTGGCATCGGCGGCCCGACCGTGGCAGTTGGGCAACAGCTGTGGCTGTCGTCTGGCAACAATGTTGATAGCTTCAAACCCTCCAAGGTTGTTTTTGCTTGATTCTGGGAATTTTAGCTAAAATCATCAGGTTGGTGGTGTGATTTACTTGGTTGGCCACTTGTCCTCGAGTCTTCTTCCCTTTGTGAGAGGTACTGAGTTCAAATTTCATCAAGAGAAATTATGAAGCGGCGTGTATTAAACAACAAAATAGGTAGGCACTTGTGGGGTTTGAGCATAGAACATTGCAGCTATCTTTTTCGACCATAAAAATTAATTTTGAAGATTGAAAAATGTAATCTGCATAATAGCTTTAGAATTTTAATTTAGCTTGCAATATCAAGCAGAAGATCGAATAAATTGTTCTGAATTAAGATATGATCAAATCTAACCTTTTGTCTTTAAGGAATAACCATATATAATAGACATTAGAAATATTTGTCATCCTTTAAAATTTGAAAATGATAATATTTCATATTTGTCAAAGTTGTACCAGTTGAACTTAGATATGTTCAACTATACTGACTGCCCTTGCGGTTTGGTAGAAATCCTTATGCACCAACACTCTGTCTGTATTATATTTATATCCTCACTAGTCAATACAAATATTCCACCTTTCCATTATAAATTTTATGATTTCTTTAATCGTTCGTTGTACAATAAAGTATAAACTAATGTTTTCTTCTTTTCTTTGAAAAAAGAAATTGTATTATTTCTCTCTTTTCTGCCAACTTTTAACTATACGTATTCCCATTGTTAATCTCTTTTGTCCATAGCATATCTAAATTATATGGCTATTTCAGCATACAAACACTCTTTGATTAAAGATTTATGAGAAGGATAGCAGCTTCCGAGGACAACTATTACTCATCCATTTGAGCTCACACAGTGGTTATTGTCTTCAACTAGATGTTATGGATTATTTGTTCTGTATTTCTTTCATTTCTTTTGAGCCAACTGTTTGTCACACTTGTAAATAACAAGCTTTAATGATAACCTGTTTATATAACAGTAACAGACAGCAAGATATGCCAGAAAATAGAAAATAGAGGAATACTAATGCGATGTGAGCATGTCCCTGTGCTATGGCCGTGTGAAATAAGCTTATAAAGTATGGGGAAAATTATTATTATTATAGTTTGCTTTTCTTCTTCTTATTATTATTATTATTATTATTATTACTATTATTAGTTAGTACTACGTAATAGTTTCCTCTGGTAGTAGTGTTCTAATAGGTTACGAGATTCATAGTAATATAACAACAGGTTAGGAGAACTCTAATATTTGACCACCAAGACTATTGTGGAACTAGTATAAATAGAGGGGGTTTTATTCACTAATAATATCATCAGTAATCTGGGGCTTATGCTTATTATGGGTATTTTCCGCAAGACCAAGCCCCGCGCCAAGGGTGTGTACTGTGTAGTTACTTATTTTCATAGCAGTTATAGCATTTGCAAACTAAATTAAAACCAACGAGGGGAAGTTTTGAAACACAAGATCACACTTTACTACTGCTTCTGTCCCAAAAAAGATGTGCAAATTTGTATTGACGATGATAAAGTTAAACATTCATTCCTAAAATTTAAATGTTAAACTTTAAATATCTAGAAACTACAACCAAAAGTTCTACTGAACCTAAAAAACCAGATTCCAATATGATCACACAATTGATATTCAAAACCAGAAAAGTAAATAAAACTGTGTTGGCCAAAAAGATAATTTGCAAGTCATTCTGGGACAAGGGAGAACTAAAAATGAATGTGGAAGAGTTCTAGACTTGCTTTGTTATATTATTACTACTTCAAAGGTGAAGCTTGTGCAGCTACAACGCATTTCTCCACAAAAATCTCTCATTACCACACAAATGGATCAATTATGTGACAAAGTACTTAACCATCTGAACCTCCTTCTTCTTGAACCCACATTTCTCATAGAATGGCTTATTCTCCTCACTGCAGTCAAGAATCACCTTGTAACACCCCATTGAAGCGGAATGATCCGTCAGGAAGTCAACAACCCTCTTCCCTAGCTGCAATCCACGGGCACCCGAATCAACTACAACATCCTCAATGTGACCGACTTTTCCACAGTTCCTAATGAATTTCCTCTCCACAAACACACTCCCAGTCGCAACAATTTTTCCAGACAGGCCATCTTCGATCACACATATTACATGGTCGTCCCCATATTTCGCCACTTCCTCAAACCTTTCCTTGAATTTTTCGTCCGACACTTCATCACACACGGTTAATTGCTGTAACAATTCAATAAACCCCTTGCTCTTGTCTGAGATTTCTAATCTTCGAATCCGAAATTTTTCCTCACTTCTGCGACTAGGGATTTGCATCTTTTGCAGCAGATTTCAAGAAGAAGAGAGTGGGCTTAGAGATGTTTTGAAGCCCTTACCGAATGAGTTGAGGGGAGTGGAGGGCAATGGCTACCGTTGTTAGAGTCTGCCGGCTGGGCAGCCGCGTGCCTGGTCTCAAGGCTCAAGCAGTCAAGTAATCAAATGAAGGTGTGAAGCCAGGAACAAAAAGTGATTAAGAATGTTACACTCTGAACAAAGAAGAAATATGATGGGTCTGAATCCAAAGAAAAGAAGAAGTTGGATTATCACATGGAATAATTTAGATTAAAACCCTTACCGGAAAAAAAAATTAACAAACCCTCATACAGGGGCGTAACCAGGACGGATGTTTAGGGGGTGACTATAAACTAAAAACGCTATGTAAAAAGTTTAAAAGCCTAAATCGTGTGAACATAATGATTAAATTTCATAATAATATTTTCAATCACTTGTCTTTTCCATTTTCCCGGATGCCGCTCAATTTCAAGTGTATCGGAAACTACTTCCCCTTGAGCGGATGAGATATTTGGAGTTTCAATTGAGTCATTTAACACTTCTATTTTATGTACTTCTACTAGGCTTTTCGAACGAAAGCAAAGTCGTTTTTGCCTTTGTGTAAGCAGATTTAGTAGTCATATCTACTAAAATTAACAAATTTTATAAGAAATTCACAAATCACATTCCACATTCCTAATCTTTGATTTCACAATTCAAATCACACAAATTAATTAAATGACACACTAACACAAATTAAAATAACAGATAACATACTTAAATTAAAATAAAAAATGTAACAAATAAAAACAGATAAACTTACCTGAGAGTCGAGAGAAGCAGATTTTGAGATCTCCAGCAAGCGTCCGTGCGGCCTCCGGCGATGCGAGCGGCGGAGCGGGCGAGAGGCCCTGCGGCGTCCGGCGATGCGAGCGGTGTGGGCCTGTAGGCTGTGGCGTTCTTCGCTGAGTTGGCTGCTTACGGCGTGCGTCCCATTCGTCCGATTTTCTTTCATCTATACATTGGGCCATGGCCAATGGAGAATGGGCCGTATACCTGCACTGGGCCAGATTTTTTTATACTGGACCAATTCAATTTTGTTTATATGTAAAGCCCCTTATCAGTGGCTTATCCCGTATAAGATTAAAATTATTTTATACTCCCTTCGTCCTTAACCCTTATTTGATGCAGTTTTCGATAAGGTTTAATGCACAGTGCACTAAATAAAGATCGTTGTGCATCAAATTGAAAATTTGAACGGCTCAGATTAATTCTCATTTTACACATTCAGATTCTTTTTTATTTGAACCCTCCCCTATGTGTGCACACACACACAAACACACACACACACACACACACACATATATATATATATATGATTATAGATCAAATACAAATCATGCTTAAATTACCAACGTACAAACTCATCTTGACCATCTGATGAGTTTATCTAAAGGCTATAAAGGTAAGGTGGTATTTTTGTAATAAAAGCCAACTTTTTAGGATGAAACTCTTAGAACGTTAATATGCAACTGCTATTTTATGGCTTCAATAATATACAATTCTTTGAACTTTAATAAGCAATACAAATGATGAAAATATGCATCGTACAAAAGTTTGCACGATAAGCACAGTTTGCACATGATCCCCCCCCCTATATATATATATATATATATATATATATATATATATATATATATATATATATATATATATATATATATATATATATATATATATATATATATATATATATATATATATATATATATATATATATATATAGACACACACACACACACACACATACACACACACATACACACACACGCACATACATACATGTGTGTGTGTTTGTGTGTTTGTTTTCAATACATATAAATACACACACACACACATATATATATATATATAGAGAGAGAGTGGGCGGAGCGAGTAACCTTCCGGTCAGACAAATTCAATTGAGATGATTTCAAGTAGATTTTTTTGATGAAATTTTTTAATCATTTTCTCTATTAAATGTAGATTATGTACAGAAAATTTCAACTTAAAATTCGATCAGAAGCTCACATGAATAAATTTTTTAGAAACATATTTATGGGACACACTGAAAAATAGATGGCATTTAATGGTTGATTACCACTCTCCCACTTCTATATGTTTATCAGAATTCAATCAATGATTCAATGTAGAGCCTCTCATGAAGAAGATAAATTCTTCAATGACTCTCTAACTCTCTAAGCTAGTCTATCAATGAGGGTGAGCAGGGGGCAGAGCTAGGGGCCAAGTGGCCAACCTACGTCCTGTGTCATCCCGAATTTAAATTTAAAAATGACTTGATTTTTAGTATAAAAAATGCAGTGAGAAATTTTCCTTAAAAAATGACTTAATTTTTATTAGGATTGTTTTCAATCCCAAACCAAATCAACCCAAACTTGGATAATTATAAAATACATAGAGAACATACATTTATCAAATAAAATGAGAAAGTCCCCGTTCAAGTAAAAACATGGTTAGTGGCTCCACCCTAAGGATGAGGCTTCTGTTTAGCCATGAAATTTTAGACATGGTAATGTTCCATCTTATATAGGCAGTGGCAGTTCTTTCCTTCTGGATGATTTAAAGTTGCACATTATAAAAAAAATCAAGCAAAGTTGTCTCTTGAATTAATAAGTTGAACTATATCATTTTGAGATAAGAAATAATAGTTTAACTCATTTGTGTAGAAAAAGAAATTAGAGAAAGAAATTGTAAAGTGAATTCAGAAACCCGTTCGTGTAGAAAAACAAAAGAAGAAACTGTGATTGAAGTAGGTATGGACTCGGGCCGGGTGGCCCGACCCGGAACCGGCCCGGGACCGGTACTGTTCCGGCCCGGCCCGACCCGGTAACCCGGTCAGTGACCGGTCCGGGTAGGCCCGGCCCGTGGGTTTTCCGGTCCGGGCTCGGGTCACCCAAAACAAGGCCCGACCCGGCCGGGCCCGATTCGGGCCAAAAACAATTTTTTTTTTCAATTTTTTTTAAATTTTAGGGTTGGGCTGGGTATTTTGGGCCATTTGGGGTGGTTTGGGGGTTGGGGGTGGGAGGGGGGTTAATTAGGAAGAGGAAAACAAAAAAAAAAATTATAATGGGCCTGGCCCGGACCCGGACCGGACCCGGTGGTTACCCGGCCCGGACCCGGACCGGACCCGATGGTTACCCGGGCCGGTCCCGGGTCCACCATTTCTGACCCTCCGGCCCGCCCGGGCCTAAGCCCGACCCGGACCCGGCCCGGACCCGAGTCCACCCCTAGATTGAAGGCAAGGTAGAGATACAAGGGTATATGTCATATGTGGCCCTTTTGGTTAATTTTGTCCGATTTTTGTACTGAAAATAGATGAGGGGTATATTATAGTATATACGTTCCCTATCACATAATTGAGTACATATGTTCCATTGTTCCTTATACAGTTATACACTTATACCTAATGCAAATACCAGGCAAATGTGTTTTATATTTCAACATAAAGTTCAATCTTGTACAAATGACCCGGTGTCTTCAAATACCAATTAGGTTTTATTGATTTTCACAAATCCAAAATGATGTAAAAATAAAAGCAATGCATATTTCTTCAGCTAATGTGCTAAAGTATTTTGTACCTAAAGTAACCGCGAGATTTCATGCCATAAAGCTTGGTCATATTGATTACAACAAACACAAGGATTAGTTCAGGAAATTTCCCATTTATAAGTTTATACGATCATGTTTGACCAAATTTATCAAGGGATAATGCGCAAAGCTGGCTTGAAATATCCGACTACATAAGGCAGGATATGGATGGACTCGGGTACGGGCCGGGTCTGGGTCGGGCCTATGCCCAGGCAGGCCGGCAGGTCAGAAATGGTGGACCCGGGACCAGCCCGGGTAACCACCGGGTCCGGTCCGGGTCCAGGCAGGGCCGGGCCCATTATTTTTTTTTGTTTTCCTCTTCCTAATTAACCTCCTCACACCCCCAACCCCCCAAACCACCCCAAATGGCCCAAAATACTCGGCCCAACCCGAAATTTAAAAAAAATTAAAAAAAAAAATAGTTTTTGGCCCGAACCGGGCCCGGCCGGGTCGGGCCTTGTTTTGGACTTTTGGGTGACCTGAGCCCGGACCAGAAAACCCACGGGCCGGGCTTACCCGGACTGGTCATTGACCGGGTCACCGAGTCGGGCCGGGCCGGAACATTACCTGTCCCGGGCCGGTTCCAGGTCGGGCCACCCGGCCCCAGTCCATCCATAAGGCAGGAAAGAGAACAGTAGACAAGTATAACTAGCATATCAATTACAGACAAAACAAATTGCAAGATGCTGCAAAAAACAAGTCTTGGAAAACTGCAGTACAAGGCTGATCAACAGTTCTTAGTACCCATTAATAACTTTCAGAAATTATCATGTCTCCTTGGAAGAACTTGAATAAAGAATACAAAGACCATAAATTAAAAGATACGAATAGGCCTTCCCATTGTGGTCTTTAGGTACAGGCACCTTACCTGTCCATAGAAATCAATCATAAATTAATTTCAAGCAAGTGAGTAATTGAGTGCAAATAAAGAGTGACGATATAGAGCAAACTAGCTTTATAAAAGGATGGAGTGAATAAATGAATGTGTGAAGACCAAGGTGTAGTCGGTCAATGCTTTTTTTCCTGTACAGTCTCACTATCTTTGGGACATGAAAAAATAGCAGGCAGGGTGGGAAGTAAAATTATGAGGTTGATATTGAAATTGCTAAAATATAAATGAATTTGAACCACATAAATATTACCAATTTTGTTACAGGATGAATTTGTGTGAGGAAGAAGAGGTGACAAAGAGTGGCATGGAGGTAGTATAATCCTAAAAAGTAATACGTGATTTAGATGTCTTGTCTAAAACACTTTCCAGTCTTGACCTTGTTCTTGAAAGCATTTTGAATTTTAGTAATGATTACATATTTTCATAACAAAATGAAAATATTTATACATCAAACACACAAGAGAGACTTCAAAACACATGCTTCATTATTTAGATTTAAAAACAATTTTAAGGAAATAACATGTTGAGGCGTTAAGAAGCAAACCCTTAAGTGAACTTACATTTTGCCAGTTCTTTTTCAGCAATGATACCAAAAAATTCACACTCATTTGAACATTCTGGAAAATCTGCTTATCTTCCATTGCCACATTACCAACAGCAACACCCATACAAAGGACCTTTTTAAGCTGGAATTTCACAGTAGCCTTTGTTTCATCAACTTTGTTCTCCAATGATTCCGAATGTGTCACCAAGGTAGGAAACTTACCTTATATCAATAAAGAAGATCGAAGCGTTAGGTAAGGGAATAAATTCATTATTAAACCAACCAACTTTAGTTCAATGTGACTATTAAAATCACTTTCCCCTCTCATTATTAAGCCCTTTGGATGCTTTTTCCAAGCATTCATTAGAAAAATTAAATTAAATCAAATTAATCAGTATACATGCCTGCCTTGTTTAGACCAGGGCCCAGTAGACGAGGGATTTGTTTGATAACAGCTTCGGATGCCAAAAAAGCATGGTACTTCTTAGCAAGTTTCTTCACAAGTTTCTTGTTTTTGTTGAGTTTCTTTAAACTTTCCACATCCATATACTCCATGCCAATTTTCTCAGCCTGCAGATTAGAAGCAGCAAAACAGATAATAATATGGAATGATAATTACGGTTGTGTGGTTGGGAAACACAGAAATAAAGGAAACTGGGGTGGCGTGGTTGATAATGAAATTGTTAAGTTTTGAATGAATTTGATCCAATTGAATATGAACAAATACTATATGTAGCACACATTTTGGAAGAGCCGAAGTTGAAATTGATATGATATGACAGATCAACACACTAAAAAACTTGTTACAACTGAATACTTAGCAGTTTACACTTTACACACTGATGAGTGATGACATAACAGACAAGTCACTTACATGTCATAAAACAAAAATAATCATCACAAAGAATCGAACTAAGCTTTTTAATCATGCATGGAAAATACCTCTTCCACATGCTGGGCATCTCCAAGCATGCAGACTTTCATCTTAGGGCGCGGGACGTGAGGCAATTTCACAGAACCACTGAAACGCTTGTCCTTTTGCGGGTCATAGTTCTTCAGCCCAATTTGAAGTTCAATGGTCTCAGTGAACTTGCGATTCTTCTCCTTTGAATCGCCCATTAGTTGGGAGATCGCTTCTCTCACGGCATCACTTTGCAACTTACTGCCAATGAAAATAAAGACAAATCATAATAATACTACAACATTTCAACTTCAATATGAGCAATGTCGTACACTCATATAGGCAGAATATGATCCTAACCCAGCGAATCAACCAATAATCTGAAAATAGACAACAACATATTGAAACATCGAGTTTAACCTAGCTGATCAAGATGACTGACCTCATGGCGAAAGAATGTTTTGCCCTTCTCGATGTAGCGTAAGACCGTCTGGCTGAGAGATGAGCGGCAGAGGCAGAGAGAGATGGTGGATCGGATGAATTAGTAGTAGTAGGGTTAGGTTACTACAACTCTTGGGCATGCGATTTTCTAAATGGACCGGATCAAACACTGGCCCAATGACTTTAAATTACGTGGTATTTAAAAGTTATCAACTTATTTTTTTTTTTTATTCCCTCCATCCCAAATTACAAAAGTCAATCCTCCATATTGATAATTAATTCAATTTTTAATGATAAAAATTTACATATTCAGAAAGTACATTAAAATCTCTTCAAAGTTGTAACTCCAAATTAGAATATAACTAAAAATCAATATCCTAATTACTCCCTCCGTCCCAATTTGATTTGCAAAATTTCCTTTTTTGGTTATCCCAAAATGGTTTTCCACTTTCTATTTTAAGTATGTAAATAAGAATAAAGTGACAAATTTATCCTTACTTTTACTTTTTCTCCATTAACTTAAAGGCATCTACTTTTAGAAAGATGGATAAAAGTGTAAAAAGCAAACATCATTTATTGTCATTTCTTAATACGTGTGCCGGTCAAAGTGTGCAATTCAATTCGGGACGGAGGGAGTAGTAATTAAGAAAATAAAATGAAACGGTTTGACCAAGAAAAGTCAAATTTGAAAATCAATTTGGCATGAAGGTAGTATTTTATTAACTTTGTCATGTTTCCTTTTAATTAAAACAATTATGATTTGTGCTAATTTTCTTTCAATTGCATAAATCAATTACCAAATTAAAACAATTATGTTTTTTTGGAGAACAAACGCATGATTTTTATTTTATTATTGTTCGTGATGTTCAAACTTAACCAGTTTGAAGGGATGGAGAGAGTATTCCTTAGTACTCATTTGATAACATTGAAATCGGTTAAACCATTAAATGAGTTAAATCTATTGAAGCTGATAAAATTTTAGTTGAACCGGATGACTTCATTAATTTGCTGATTTTCAGATATTGTAAATTCGGAATAAGAATGATGAATAAAGCAAAACTCTTTTGAAAATTAATTATAATGATCTTTTATTGTAATCCCAAACGATTCAATCACAAAATTAATTTCAAACCCACTTATGTTAGTAACTTGAATCTTATTTCTTTGGTCTCTGACCTGCTATATCAGTTTTTTTACATATTCTTTGGAAACATAGCATAAATAATCTCACCTTACACAAATATTCTCAAAATAGTCCAATGTCTCATTTTTTCCCTTTTCCTCCTGGATGCTTTTCTGTCTTTATTTTTTTTCCTAGACACTTTTTTATTTTTCCCATCTTTTTGTTTTTACATATTTATGTATTCTATTTTCACTCTATAAGGAGAGTTTTTTTTCAAACTCGAGGGTACTGAATTGGTAGAGATCACCAAGTAAAAGCTGAAGTTGATTCGAGAGAGACTCAAAATGACTCAGGACAGACAGAAGAGCTATGCCGATAAGCGTCAGAGAACCTTAGAGTTCAAGGATGACGACGAGGTATTTTTTAAAGTTTCTCCTTGGAAAGGAATCATCTGATTCCAAAGTAGGGGGAGCTTAATTCACGCTACATAGGGCCATTCAGAATTCTAGAGAGAATTGGAACTGTAGACTGTTGTTAAAAGTTGACTCATGAGTTAGAGAAGATGTATTCCACGTATATATGCTTAAGAAGTATGCACATGATCCCTCTCATGTATTGGGAAAACTGCTTGTGGAGCTATGCGAGGATTTGAACTATGTCGTGCAACCGATAAAGGTCATCGATAGAAAAGTGAAGAAACTGAGGAGTAAAGAAGCTTCAATGGTGAAAATCCTTTGGAAGAGTGATCGAGTTGAAGAAAAGACTTGGGAAACGGAAGCTTTGATGAAGAATCAATATGCATTCCTATTTGAGTAGCGTTGTGAATTTCGAGGACGAAATTCCCATTAAAGGGGTGAACTTGTGACACCGCACCCGGACGTTATTGAAATTCATATTAAAATTCAAAGTTGATGTATTGATTTCCCTATTATCGAACATGTATAAAACGATTAATGCTTTATATAATGTATGATTAATTGTACTATCATTTGGAACCGTATTATGAAGATGGGCTTTCAAATACTTAATGAGGCCATCTTATTAGACCTAATAGCCCAATACAATATAAAGAAACATTTATAACCTTTCTAGACCAAATAAAAAAGGTTAGGCAGTCCAAATTGTTGTTTTGGGCTCAACCTGCTAAAAATAGTAAGCATTTGGATAAAGGCGTCCTAGGCCCACTCCAGAGTATAACATACGCCTTGTAGCCCATAAATATAAATGCAAAGGTCACAAATAAGTGAAACGATGACTAGATAAGAATACAAACTTTTATGGTCCACTCTTGGCCATTTTTGGGATGAATTATGGGAGTAAAGTTTTCTCCTATAATTATACATCATATGAATTATTGGTACCATCCTACACATTTTAGAGATCAATAATATGATGTAGAAAGTTGACTTTGTTTGAATCAATTAGAATGAGTACAAAAAGACATTACATGACACAAGATAAAACAATAAGACTCATTCTTCCTTTTTGGAAATTGCATGGAAGTATTGGTACATATTTTGCTCCCAAAATAACTAGGGATCACAAGGGTGCGTCCCACAGATTCCTATCACCTGCAAGACAAGTAAAATAATGTTATAATAGGGGAGGGGCAGACATAGTGGACTTGGGGGCTGCACATGACAAAGGGAATCAAAAGGGAGACCCACCATGTCTATTTCCGCACAAATTGGGTGTGTTGATTGTCTCCTTTAATAATTGGAGCTATACTCATTCAATCAGTGGTTGAGAAGTCTTGAAGTATACTTTCATTATAGCTTCATTTATGGAGAATAAGAGAGAGTTATGCAAACAAAAAGAGAGGTAGAATGAACTGCCGCATACAAGCTCAAACAGTTGGAGTGTTGAGATTGTTTACTCCATATCTTGAGCACCACTTATCCAAATTAGGCGTATGAGGTGTCTAAAGAAATATCTCAAGACTATGATTCTGTAAAGGTGCGGTTTGCAGAAAACGGAGTAGTGTAAGATCTTCAAATCATCGAAGGCAGACGCTACCTCGCATAACACATTTTCTTCTCTAGAGTGAGTTGAATCCAAAACCTTTCTTTTCATTATCTAAATCATATGAACGATTGAGGAAACTATTCTACACTATTAAAAGTGTATAATATGTTCTTGATAAGGTTATTTTATGGATTTAAAGGTTGTATATTAACCTAATATAAACCTTGAAAGGTTAGGTAGCGAATTCGCCGAAAAACACCCTTTCTAGGGACTGTTTTCACACCTCTTATTAGGGGACGATTCCATACTTGGAGGAGGTATTCTAGCCATCATTTTTTAGCAAGGAATCAGTTTTCAACATTCCTTGTCCGAAGCTTTGACCTTTGGATTGAGAAAGGAAAGTTTGGAGCTCATTTGAGGTGAGGATAGCCGACTATATTGCTTATAATTAGTGAGTTAATTTCATAAGATTACCTAAGGTATTCAAATGTATTTTTCATGGATTATTAATGATTAATAATGCCTAAAATGAGAAGGCTATTGACTATTAAGATAAGGAACATAATATACATATTTAGTATAAATTATTTATGTTATGTGTTGTAGCAATGATGACATGCTAGTTGGATAACTATGAAGCTTGTTGATAAAATATACTTTTACTTCATATAAAGATCATATGCATGTGAAATGTGATATTTTGTATATTGAGATAAATTAATTATATTTTTGGTTGGATAAATCAACTTGAATTGTCTATGACCATGGATTGAGAATTTGGTTTGCTAGAATTAATCCGGCTAATATTAAGATCCTAGTCGGGACATTAAAGTGAGATTATGCTAGAATTGATCCTAAGGTTGTATTGTGAAATATTGTACCTTAAATAGTCTTAAGAGATGTTTTAAAGCAGAATTGTATGAACTCTAAGTTATATTAGGGATAGGCCTTAAAGGCTACCCATGATAAAGTGATTATTGAATTGATCCTAAATATAGGATTGGCCTATGAGTGTTTTCGGTAGTTCTTGAGGATAGTCGGGTTAATTATGGTAAAGAAAGTAAGGACCATGACCCTTCCCGACTCTAGAGAGCGGGGTTGGATAGCAGGAGGGACTTGCAGCGTGACCACATGTAGTAGTGAAGTCCGAATCGGAGACCTTACGAGACTCCCGACTGCGGTAACACTTAAGATAGGACCCCAAATGGACCTTACCTTCCTACGGGGCGATGGGTACAAGTCAAGGGGCGGGATGTTGGGCATCGGCCCGAGGACCTAATGAGGCCTCCGAAAGGGGTGACAAGTCCCGTATGATTGATAAGATCTACATGTTGTGTCGTGCGAACGATGAATGAAATGGAATATTAAAAAAAGGCATGTGTGCCGAAAAATTAACAATTAACTTAGTATACAGATAATAAGGGGAAAAGATGAATTATCATTTATATTATGATATCACCCTATTTGAGTGTCTTAGAAATTGAAACACTGATTATATTTGATGTAGTTGTCATTGTACTTTTCAAATGCTTCAAAGTACTAACCTCCCCTTCACGGGGGGGGGGGGGGGGGGGCACCTCACAGTTTCAGGTAGAAGTTGAAGCTTGCTACCAACGCCCGTTGCTTCGGGAGGATCTAGGATAGAAGACGTGGTTCGTGTTTCCTCCATTTCTATTTTAAAAACAATTACATTGATGCTCATGGATATTATTTCCTGAATAATTATTTGGGGGCTTGTATGCTTAAGTATGTCAAGTGTGGCTTGAACATTTGTATTAATGTTCTCGCTGCTTTAATGAATATTTTACATTATGTTTGTTTATGGATGTACTATGTGTGAACGATATTCAAGACGCCTAGTATAGTATGGATGTGTTGGATTGCGGTTGACTATCTTTACTGTACGGCGGGTTGTTGACGTGTCCGGGTAGGTCAGGGTCGTGACAGTTTCTTTGGTAGGTGATGTCTCCCACGACGAGCAAGTTAG